CCTGGGCACCGAGCTGCACCCGCATGATGCCAGCACCTGGACGGGGGCCTCAGCGCTGACTCAGCGGAGCCCGGGGCCTGGGCCTGTGGCTGCGAGGCTGGGGTCCTGGGGCTCCCGGACTTCTGTGCACCTCCTCTGCCCCCTGGACCTTGGAGCTGATGCTGGTCACGGGCTGAGCGTGGAGGCTGGGAAGGTAGTGGTTATTCAGCTTCCTGGGACGCTGTCACTACGTGATCGCTGTGTGCTCTCGCGATGACGCTGTGGCACGGATGAGGCAGGTGTCGTCACCCACATTTTACAGGGGAAACTGAGGCTCCGGAGGTTCTACTGCGGCTGCCTGACCCCTGAGCCCAGGTCTTCCCGCCTCAAAGCTGGTGCTCTGTGCCAGGGGTTCCCCAAGATTCTAATTTAGAAGGTGGGTTCAAGGAGTGATCTTTTCACAGTCTCCCCAGATGGCAGGCGGAGGTGCATGTAGGAGGCTGGGACCAGGAGGGCAGAGGCTGTGGGAGAAAAGGAGCAAATCAGGTTGCCCTGTGCAAATAGCGGAACTTGTCACAGGAAGCCGGCTCCTCTCCAGGCCACGGCTCCAAGGACGGGGGTGGAGGCAGGGTGCTCAGGGCTGCCCAGGGGGTGTCTGGAGGACACCCTGCCCTCAAAAATTCCAGAAAGACTTTGCTCATCACAAGTGGCTGATGGAGCTAGATGGCCCGATTCAGGCTCTCTCCGGCTCACCAGGCTCGTGGCTTTGCCGAGTCCTGCAGCCTCTCTGCCTCAGTCTTCCTGCAGTGAATGAACCATCCTTCCTCCAGGAAACGGCCCTTGGTGTACAGTGAGCCCTTAATCACTGTGAGCAACCCGGGGACAAGGGCTGCCTTTACCCCGGCAGCCTCTCCCGTTTCCAGCCTCCTCCTCTGCAGCTCCCGGCCAGGCCCAACGGGAGGAGACAGGCTCTAGGACGAGGGGGGAGATGAGACAAACCCAACCCAGGTCAGGTCAGCTCTTCCCCAACGCTCTGCCTTCCCCTCAGAGCCTCCCCGCGCACCAGAGTGACCGTAGCCTTGCACAAGTCCAGAGAAGGGGGACCCTGTCGGCGTGGTGACAAAGGCACGGGCCAGGCCAAGCGAGCGGGTGCCCGGAGGCGCTGTCCACACTGCCTCTCACTGTCCTGGCGTCAGGAAGACTCGGCTCATGTTCTCGGCACTGGAAACTATGCCCTCATCTTGGGCTTTCTCCATCACCACCAGCTCTGCTCGCTTGGACAGCCGCCCCGGGGAATTCGCTCAGCAAAACAAATAGACATGTATTTTGTATCGGATCACTGGCAGCGAGGATGGGTTCTGGCCCGTGAACTGGAGCCGAGGCCAAGCACCGTTCTCCGGAAGCATGAGGCCTCCCCCCGCATGCAAACCCCAGGTGGAAGGGCACAGGACCGAGGGACAGCGGCTCCACGTGTGCATGGGCCCCCCTGAAGCTCCAGAGCGACTGTCCAAGGTCACACAGCAAGTTTGGGGGAGCCGCCCCAGGAAGCCAGGCTCCCAGCCCTCCCCGCCCAGGTGCCCCCCGGGCTGGCTTGTGCAGGATGGACATCATCCTTGGGTGTTTGCCAGCGCTTGGAGCTTAATGAGGTAGACGCTGATTTAATTAGTAGAAAGGCCAGTTTGGGGATTCTCGGCTACAATGATAATCATCATTCCTAAGAAGGACAACAGAGCTTTACAAGATTTTTAAAGTAATTTTCTGATCCTCGCAGATCAAATGATGTTTAAGGGAGTGTGGGAGCTAGCAGGTGCTCTGTCTAAAGTAGCCGTCCTCCTCTGGAACACTATCAACAATAAGAAATATATAAAGCAGCCATCCTCCAATACCAGTGTGCATAAAACCAGCCAATCACTGATGGAGCCACCTCCCAGTGGGCCTGGATATGTGACTGACTGCACAGAATATTCTAGCTCTCCAGTGGCTGGACACCCGTTCTTGGAATCCTACTTGAAAAACCAGACCGGTAAGATTGGAGCGCTCACGGTGCGTGCGGGAGGCCTCTGCCCAGCTGTGCTGTTGCTGCTGCCGTGTCCTGTGTGGGGGTGGGGTTGGGGGTGGGGGGACTGGTCTGTGGGGCACAGGGGCTTCCAGGCGAGGGCTGGTCCACTCGGTGGAGAAAGGAGGAGGTGTGTGCTGGGGCGGGGCGTGCTGGGGTGGACCTGTTTATTGATGCCGGTTCCGAATGGAACAGCCTTAGCTGGCTTCCTCAGGATGCTAGGGTTAATGTTCTGTTCCTGCAAAAAGGGCCCCTGGACGGGTCCCGGTCTGCGAGGGGTGGTCAGTCACTCTGCCACCTGTGCATGGAGAGCAGCACCTCCGATCACGTACTCTTCCTAGAGGCCCGATGAGGCCGATACTATTGTTCCCATTTCTCAGAAGAGGAAACTGGGGCACAGAGAGAGTAAAGAGCTCGCCCGAGGCCATACAGCCTCCAGGCTGCGAATGCCGGCCAACCCGGCACCGAAACCTTCCCCTTAGACCAGGTGTCATGGGGGTGGTCCCTGCTCATCCCGCGGGAAGGACCGGGAGTGCCGTCCCAAGCCATGGAAGAGGAGCCTCGGTTGGAGCATGGGAAGGTGCCTTTTCGGCAAGAACCCGGGTGGCTCCACAGTCTTCAAGTTTGCAGAACAGTATCCTAAACGAAGGCACAAACTCACTGCCCCCGATGGAAAGCCCTCTCGTGGTGCTTCAGGTTAGGACCCCGGGGAAGGCCTTCCTCCCCGGGCGCCCAGCTGATTCCAGTCTGAGAAACACATCTCTTCCCCAGGGGACCAACACCAGGCCAGATGGGACCCTCCCTCCTTCCGGGGCAGCCTTGTCCCCGGTGTGGGTCCTGCGTGCTGACTCGGTACAATCAGAACATCGCCGGCAAGCAGTTCCTGTGGGTCCCCCCCCTTACTGCTGGGACTTGCAGTCATCCATTGTCCCAGCCCCTACCGCCCCCCGCCCCCCACACCCCAGCAAGAGCAGGGGAGAGGTGCCACCTCCCCCAGGTGGGTGGTGAGAACCCCAAAGTGGTTACAAAACCTCTGTACCATCTGCAGTCACCAGGCCTGGGAT